CCTAGCCATTGCGTTCAGGTGGGCGATGTGGCCCATGGGCCTCTTGTTTTTATTTATCTCGCCCTTAAAGAGGGTGTGGCCCTTCATTTTACCAAACTTGATTATCCTTTATCCAATGATACTTTTTGGGAAGTTTGGGTACAATGGTTCTTAAGAAGTTACAAATGTGAAAAGTTTACAGACAAACAGACAGGCAGGTACCAAACAAAATGTAATCAGAAAAGCATTCATACACCACTGAAGTTTCTAGAATGTAATGCTGTAGTATTTTTTTAAAATTAATAATTTTAAAATGATGAATTAATCTCAATTAAAATAAGTTTTTCTCCCCAAACATTAGAAAATTTCAAAATTTGGTTATATTACAGTTACTAAGCAACACTAACTTCAAAGTGTATCAATGGTAACCATAAAAACATACAGTTTTTTAAATTATGAATGTTAAAGTTTTCCGAGTGTTTTACTTATTTCAATGCAAGCAAAAGGTATGAATACTGAAAGCCAAAATTTCAAATAAAATATTTTGGTAACAGATAGTTTGTTTCCTGGCCATTGTGCAACATGTTGCCATGGCAACCAAAGTATTATTTGATTATGGAATCTTGTCATCCCTACAAACTTTTTGATACATAATAATATTGTATCTTAAGGTATTTATTTTTCATTTAGAATGTTTTTTGTTGAAAATCTCATTTCAGCCCTTAAAATTTAGCCTCAAAAATGACTGAATGTAAAAGGATATTGTGGTTACAAAAGTGGTTGATAAATGTTCAGATTTGTTGCCATGGGTTAATAAAGTACAAAAATACTTTATCAGACCCATATTAAATTGACAGTTTTGCCAAATTGTATTTTAAAGAAAAATTATCTATTTGTATCTATTATAACTCTATACAAAAATGCCAAAAAATAACCCTTTTTGCATTGTTGCTATGGAAAATTTTCTGTTGCCATGGAGATGAATAAATAAAAATTATTGATTCATTTTTTAAATAAATGAGAGTTATTTTCTATTACTTGAAAAAATATATACAACTAAAAGATAACAATTTATAAGATTTTTTACTCAACTCTTTACCATTTCTCGCTTTTTCTTTATCAAAACATCCAACTTTGTTGCTAGGCAACGGATAGGATTTTTCAAAAAACCCGCGTTTTCGAAGTTAAAGTCTAAAAGAGGGAGTCCTCCCCTTTTTTGTGAAATAAACATAACGGCTGTATTAGCTTGGTATTAATTTTAAATTGACTTTCAATATTGTCAAAATCGAGGAAAATGCTGAGTCAGCAAAAATGCAAAAACATTTATATATTCTAATGTCTACCATAGTACTATCTTTGAATAAAATATCAATGTCTTGTGTTGTTTAAACACCTAAAGTGTGTGTTTTTATTATACCAGTAAATAAGAATAATTGTTAAAGTTTTTATATATAATTTCAGGCTTTAAAAATAAGTGATTTTTTTGTCCCTTCATATGAAAAAATTGACTGGTTGCTAAGGAAATTACTTTGACCAGGTTTCCATAGTAACCATGATCCAAAACATTTTTCATTTTATATTCATGGATCATAGTGCAAGAGATATCTATGCGTGGAAAATCATTGAATTCTGAGAACCTCAGTGAATCACTTAAATATTACTTTTGTCTGATTTTTACGCAGACTGGTACTTAAATGAAATTAAATCTTTCTTTATATCAGTGTGCTTAATATTAAACACAATCTTAATTAAGGCGAAGGGTACTGAATTAATACAAATTATTTTTATTATGGTAAATAGTCATGAAATGATCGCAAACATGTGAGAACAGGATATTGTTGAAAAAAAATATTAAGAAATAAGAAGTGTTGCATGTGCATAAAAGGACTTGTCGCATGCATGCTCTCTCAAAAAAAAATGTAATTTTATGAAAAAATTACCTACAACCTGGTTTATCAAAATTCTGAATACATACATTAAGAAACATTTAAATGAAAAGAAGCATATCCCACAGGAATACCTTTAAGTATAAATTAATATAAGTGTGTAAGTCATTGAAAAATCCCATCACGTTTCACTCAAAGTCCTGGGTACTTTTAGGAAAAGAAAGAATCGAGGAAAATACAGAGAAATATATAGTTATTAATTCATTAATCCTGAATTTATCATAATATTGATTTCAGGGATCATTTGAAAGCGCTTTGTTTAAAAACATAATATCATACAGGTGTCGCAAGCAAATTAGAAAAGGACACGGGGCGGGGAGGGGGGGGTACTGATCAGTCTTCGGTATTGAAATCACATGCGTGCCTGGTGGAATATAGAATATAGAAATAATAATCTTATTATTTTCAGTGACAGATGCAGATGTTGTGAGTAAGAGATTTTGTCGACGTTTATAAATGTTAATTTTTAATAAGTTGAACTTGTCGGAAGCAAATTGGAGTGGTTGGGAGTGGTTAACTCCGTTAAATGTGAAAAAGTGGGAGAATGTGTAAGTTGTATGCTTCACTTATAATTGGGAGGATTAGTCCTACACTCACCCCACAGGCACTTGTTTCTGTAATAGAATTTTGACCCATAGAATAATAAATAACTCAAGGTATCCAACTCCGTATTACGCGAAGTACCCCTCTCCCTCAGATTCACACTCATTTACAATTTCAGAGGACATGCACTGGCAAACTTTTATACCTATGTCTTCTACGATAATTTATCTAGTACACAACTATATATGGCATGCGTGTCTTTATTTTCAAGTGCCTGTGACTCACACTTAGTCTTTAAGACATGCTAGTTGGTAAAGAATTTATATACACTATATGAACATATTGAAAAAAAATCCATCTTAAAAATTTGAAGGAAAGTCTGAGTCAAAGTTCCAGTCGTACGGCATTGGTTTGTCTAGATCTGCTTCTATGTATACGTGTATATATTTTTTTCAAAACGGCTTTTCAAATCACATGTTATATTGCAGATCTGCATAACATTTCTCTCTCTCTCTTCTGTAAAAGATATAACAAACTCACTAGTATCAATTTTTACCTTTTCATACGTTGCTAAAATTTAATTCAAAGAACTACCCAGCGTGATATTTATCAACAATAGACATTGCTTGTGCTGGTACTGATCCAAGAATAAATAACAAACAAGAAAAAAAAATAAAAATCAGACCAAAATAAACAAACTATGTATCGGTTAACTTTATATTTACGAGTCTTAAAGTTGTATTAGTATTACACGCCAATATTTTATAAACAAAAGTAATGAAAATATGGGAAGAGTTGCTGCATTGAGTATGACCGAATTATGACGTTGTCAGCACCTTCATGGCATCAAGTCACGTGATCAAAACATGGCGGCGCCCATAAATGAGGTCAGAGCATTGTGTATACGCTAACACTGACAACTGTACTTTGAGTATTACCTCTTTGAGCTGGTAGCCACATCAATAAGAAAAAAATTTAACTGACACAGGTCGCAGTGTGGAGTTCTAAGGACCACAGTAGAGGTGGGACCCAGTATTGTATCAAGTTGTCTGCTGTCAGTGGGGACCAGTCTAGTCCTCTTACTGTTAAATAGATATATACCAGAAAGTCTTCTGGGCTCTCTGTTATATTGAGCATGAGAAGTACTGGTAATGGAATTTAATTAGTACAGTTGAACTTTACTATCTCGAATACTGATATCTCGAATACCATAGATATGTTGAAGTGATTTGGAAGTCCCAAACACTTATTCTTTTAGTATTTTACCCTCGATATCTCAAATCCTTGTATATTTCGTAGTATTAGTTTACTATTGTCCAAAATGATTGTTTTAGGAGCACATTATGGACCAAGGCAAGAAGGACATTGGAGTGACCCTCCGCACATAACTTATGGCCGTGTGACAGCTCATCAGGGAGAAATTCACAGACCTCAATTACGCATTCAAAGTAAGTTCTGTGGTTTGAATTTTAGGGCTGAGCTAAAATAAAAAACCATTTTACTTCAACTGTCTGAAATTTATTTTTTAAATCATACATATACACTTACTTTGTTGTTTTTAATTTTGCATAGAATTATGAGTAAATAAACATCAAATTCACAGTTACACAGTTACACATGCACACTATCTGTACCTTATTTTAATCTATGATTTGTAATTGATCCTTGACATTGTTACCTAGCAGGAAAGAAATAAGTGCTTATTTGTTACAAAATTTTTAGATCCACAAATCAAAGACAGTCTGATCTTGAGTCAAACAAAACCAAAGCAGCTGATCTTGGGAGGTATAAAACTATGACCCTCTCCTGACCATTACAGCCAACTTTATAAATGCCTTCTCTGATAAATAAGAGCAGCCTACAGGCCTATACAGTAATTATAGCCACAGACCCTGATGAGGAGCACATCAAAACCAGCACCCTACCCGACTGGAAATCTGCCTAGATCAACTCCTAGTTGCCTAGATCAAGGTCAACCAGGCAGACTTCTTCCAGCTAACATCTTCCTTCAGTCAAACTCGGTCCAAGCCGAGCGTGAGGGAGAAGAATTTTAAAGTGTTTGAGATTGGTGTGGAGGCAGATTTTAATAATGTGCTGTACTGTAATGGTCCACTCATACAGAATACTAAGTACTACATTAGACTCTGGGCTTACACAGCGAGGGGATTCGCTGACACTGCTTACTCAGATCCTTTCACCACAGGTAAAAAAATCTGATTTCCTGTCTAGCTTGTAACACAAGATTTGATTGGTCTAGCTTGTAACACAAGATTTGATTGGTCTAGCTTGTAACACAAGATTTGAATGGTTAGCAAACTGGTTAAAATTTCGGTACACCCAACTTGAGCTGGGGGGGTGGGGGGTAAATAACATGATGTTAGAATGCAGAGTTTCTCTAAGAAAAAATGAAAATAACATGACGTCATGATGCATTGTACCACATAGTAAATCTCATCGATAGCTTGAAACACAGTTGATTGGACTTAAATGTATGTAAAAGGAATTTATTTGGGTACACAGGAAATAAAATTGTTATCCACGTTCAATCAAGGGTGTTTGGGGATTTACCCTGAGTTTTATTAAGGGTGTACAGGGATTTACCTGGGTTTTATCAAGGTTGTATGGGGATTTACCCTGGGTTTTATCAAGGGTGTGCAGGGATTTACCCTGGGTTTTATCAAGGGCTTTTGGGCATTTACCCTGAGTTTTATCAAGGGTGTACAGGGATTTACCCTGGGTTTTATCAAGGGTGTACGAGGATTTACCCTGGGTTTTATCAAGGGTGTTTGGGCATTTACCCTGGGTTTTATCAAGGGTGTATAGGCATTTACCCTGGGTTTTATCAAAGGTGTATGGGCATTTACCCTGGGTTTTATCAAAGGTGTATGGGCATTTACCCTGGGTTTTATCAAGGGTGTATAGGCATTTACCCTGGGTTTTATCAAAGGTGTATGGGCATTTACCCTGGGTTTTATCAAAGGTGTATGGGCATTTACCCTGGGTTTTATCAAAGGTGTATGGGGATTTACCCTGGGATTTATCAAAGGTGTATGGGGATTTGCCCTGGGTTTTACCAAAGGTGTATGGGCATTTACCCTGGGTTTTATCAAAGGTGTATGGGCATTTACCCTGGGATTTATCAAAGGTGTATGGGGATTTGCCCTGGGTTTTATCAAGGGTGTTTGGGGATTTACCCTGGGTTTTATTCCATATACCCATCGGTCACATCTTAAATCTCTGATAAAAGAGAGATAACCCCGTGGGTTTTAGCCTTGCTAGATAGGGATTTCCATTTCAAACCCTGTATGACTATGTATTAGGTCCCCAACAGACCGTGTAACTAATAATGCTGCAACAATTTAATTCATAATGTAGACAGTTTTTCACTTAGAATTGATAAAAAGCTAAAGAACTAATTTTATTTTTGAAAAGAAGTTAAATGTGATTGTCACAGTAAATTGTAGTGAAAAAGTCTTATTTACATATGTCACATTCTCCTTATTGTTATGACCTCTGACCCTAATCTACCCACATACTGGGCATATGTCACCTGATGCCCCGCATTATACACTGACGCTTCAGTCTCCGTCCAGAAGCCTTTATACATGCAAACACCCATTTTGTACATCTTATATGTTTGATGTTTATATGCCATATTCTTGAATTGTTACCTGGATCCTTCTACTTGTTGACCTTTGATAGACATACAAGGTAATTAAAGAGCCAGTTTATTATTGATATAATATTGGTTACAGGACAGAATGCTCAAGTGAGCTTTTCTGATCACCCGTGTCTGTCATCCGTCCGTCCATCTCTCCATCCATCTGTAAACTTTTCACATTTTCAACTTCTTCTCAAGAACCACTGGGCCAATTTTAACCAAACTTGGTACAAAGCATTTGGGTAAAGAGGAGTTTAAATTGCTAAAATGAAGGGCCAATTCCCTTCCTGAGGGGAGATAACCAAGAAAAGACAAAAATTGGGTGGGATCATTAAAAAATCTTCTTCTCAAGAACCACAGGGCCAGAAAGGCTGAAACTTATGTAGAAGCATCCTGGGGTAGTGTAGATTCTAAATTGTTTAAATCATGACCCCCAGGGGTAGGGCAGGGACACAATAGGAAATCCAAGTTTATATTGAAATATGGAGAAAAAATGTTTAAAAATCTTCTTCTCAAGAACCACTGGGCCAGAAAAGCTGAAACTTATGTAGAAGCATCCTGGGGTAGTGTAGATTCTAAATTGTTCAAATCATGACTCCCAGGGGTAGGACAGGGACACAATAGGGAATCCAAGTTTTACATTGAAATATGGAGAAAAAATGTTTAAAAATCTTCTTCTCAAGAACCACAGGGCCAGAAAAGCTGAAACTTATGTGGAAGCATCCTGGGGTAGTGTAGATTCTAAATTGTTCAAATCATGACCCCCGGGGGTAGGGTGGGGCCACAATAGGGAATCCAAGTTTTACATTGAAATATGGAGAAAAAATCTTTAAAAATCTTCTTCTCAAGAACCACAGGGCCAGAAAGGCTGAAACTTATGTTGAAGCATCCAGGGGATAGTGTAGATTCTAATTATTCAAATCATGCCCTCTGGGGGTAGGGCAGGGCCACAATAGGGAATCCAAGTTTTACATTGAAATATGCAGAAAAAAATCTTTAAAAATCTTCACAAGAACCACAGGGCCAGAAAAGCTGAAACTTGTGTAGAAGCATCCTGGGGTAGTGTAGATTCTAAATTGTTCAAATCATGACCCCTGGGGGTAGGGCGGGGCCACAATAAGTACTACAAGGGGGAATGAGGTGAAAAACAGCAAGGCCAAAGTTACTCAGGTGAGCGTTGTGGCCCATAGGCCTCTTGTTTTCCACTTCTAGGAGCTACATTTGACTGTCGTGTTGTACTGCCCTAGTGTAACTGGTCAGCACACCTCATGCATAAATTTTATTCTGCACTGAGGAGGTCCAGGTTCAAGTCCTGGGGGCAAAAAATTGAAGGAAATTTCTTTATAAAGAGGATATATTTGTGTCATCATATTTATATTAAATAATGCATGTACTTTTCTTTCATTCATATACTGTATGTGTACTTATAAAAGCAGGCTTCATATTTTAGCGGCTTTGGTATGGACAACAATGCACTATAATTCATGAATACCATTAATAATACATAAATGAATACATTGTACAATTCATGGCGTGGTCGTGTGTAATGCTAATTCATGATCAGCCAACCACTCAATACCCAGTGATTGCGCTAAATTTTGAACACATCAATTTATGTATATATGTACAGTATAGGTACAGACCTCATCATGTTATGGTGCAGAACTACATTACTATACTGTTGTTGACAACTACGTAGACACCGACTTCAGAAGATTATTTTTTATCACCTAAAATTGCTTTAAATCAGTTGTTGAATTTTTGTCAGCAAGACATGGAATCAATGATCAACATTATGGAGAGAGAGAGAAGGGTTAAAAAATAAAATACTTGTTGCTCTTAAATTTTTCTGTCACTGGTAAAGTGTGAGATTCAATCTCAGGTATTTGTGACATTGCAGATTCACAGAAACAGTTGTTTCTTGCTTGAACTGAGGACTGTAAATTCCTTTGCCATTGATGAAACAGCCTCAGCAAAGCAAGACAGAATAGCAAGAGACTTGAATTAGCTAGAATATCAAAATAATGTCTGCATGGCCTTACCAATTTTAATGTTATCTAATAATAAATATTAAGGATATCTGCTCATCAACCAGGAACAGTAACTCAAAATATTATAATTCAATTGAATAAAATTGTAAATGAAGTTTGAAATTAAAATCTTTTCATCTGACAATTTTCATTTCATGCATCTCATATGATTCAAATTTCTTGAAGTCTTAAAAAACATAAGTCTTGTAAGAAGTTGACATTTGCACCAATAAGTGAGGCGCCCACCATGGCACCTGATACACCCATCAAATATAATATATAACTATCTTAATATTAAACAGATTGAGTGTTGAAGAGAGAAAATCATGTCAACCTTGAAATAAAGATTTCAGTGACTTAATTTTTCATTGTCCCCCACTTTTGCCAAAGGAAGGGAACATTAAATTTCATTCATCTATCAGTCTGTCTGTCATGAAAACTTTGACCTTGCAGGTCATTACTTTTGAATGAGAAAAGATAGGGTCTTCATATTATATATGTATATTACCTGTGACAAGACCTTTCCAAATATACAGTGATTTTTTGACCCCATGACCTTAAACTTGAAGTTTGACCTACTTTTCAAGAAATTTAACATTACCTAAAATTGGCAATAAAATTTTAATGAGAAAAGATAGGGCTTTCATAATACATATTTACATTACCTGTGACAAGACCTTTCCAAGTATACAAGTGTTTTTGACTCATTGACCTTGAAGTTTAACCTACTTTACAAAAATTTTATCTTTGCTTATAACTTTTGATTGAGAAAAGATAGGGCTTTCATATTTGGCATGTGCATTACCTGTGACAAGACAATTCCAAGCATGCTATGTTATTTGATCCCTTGACCTTCATGCTTGACCTAATTTTCAAAAATGTTAACTTTGGTGATTTCTTTTGAATGACATGTGAAAGAGCGTTCATATTTGACAAGTGCATAAAGTGTGTCAAAATTTTTCAGAATGTGCTATGGTATTTGACTACTGTAACCTTGACCTTCATTTTTGACCTAATTTTCAAACATTTTATCAGTGTTGCTAACTTCTGAAGGAGCAAAGATAGGGCATTTATATTTGACATGTCATACATGTGATATGTACAGGCTGTACGCAAAATGTACAGTTTTTTGAGCCCATTCATCGTGTACCGGCGGGACACCAAAAGTCACGGAATATGAAAATTTGTACAGTATTTTGAATTTCTCGCTAAATGCCGCCATTTTCCTCTCATTCTCGCTCGCGAGACACTGGAAAACGTCACCTGTGTTTGACACTTGACCTTCTGATAATTGTGTAGTGTACACAAACCATCGCGTGCGAAGGTGTGAACTGCCAATTGGGATAATTATCTTGCTATAAATCCGTATCAAATACCCCTTTAGGTAGCTTTATTTTTTAAGGGGTACTTAATTACTGTTAATGTTTCGTATACGTAACTTGATTGAAAAAAATTAAGCCAACTTCTAAAGTTGATATACATGACTTTAGTCTTAATATACGTGAATCTGACCCAGATCTTCGTAGGTATAAAATATACGATGTTTATAACAATGATTACGATGGAATTTCAGAAGAATTTAAGCGATATTTTATACCATTTTTTGTACTGTTTTTTGATAGGCAGTGTACAGTTTTTTCACCCAAATTCCAGTTTTTTTATGGCTCATGTACAGTTTTGTGGTCTTTGACTTATCACATGTATGACATGTGCATTACCTGTGAAAAACAAATTTCCAAATGTACTATGATTTTTAGCCCCATGACCTTGAAGTTTGACCCAATATTAAAAAATTTTAACATTGCTGCTAATTTTAACTTTTGATCTAGAGAAGATACGGTATTTAATTTGATATGTGCATTACCTATTTCAAGATCTTTACAATTGTATACTCTGGTTTTTCATATTTTTTTCACATGTTCATTACTTGTGACAAGATCTTTTGGATTGTATTATGATATTTGACCTCAGATTCCTACTGACCTTCATCTTGAGGTTTGATGTAGTTTTGAGAAGCTATAATCTTTGTTATAACTCTTATTATTTCAATAATTTATGTTTTTTTTGTATGATGCACAGACAAGACAGGACAAACAAACAAGACAGTTACAATATGCCATAAATAATGGCATCCCATCCATTAAGACACCGAAAGTGGGGGACCACAATTCTTTGAATTTTCTTGTTTCAAATGTTTGATATGCATCTTCTTTGGTGTGGTTAGATTAAATAGTACATCATATATACAGTTTCTCACCTAGTTGTGTCAATGTTCAATCACAATTTTGTCACATGTACATACTCTCATCTCAGTTATCCCACCTTTACACGAGAAGAGATGGGAGGTAATTGAAAGCTCTTCTGAAGTCATTCCAGCTGAAGACAAACAGGTGTCACTATTACTCATTACTGAAAAGAAAAATCTAAGCAAAAATCATAAAATAATTAGATTGTGATTAGCTACAGAACTGTAGTATTATGGTTTTATATGTTAGTCTTTTACCATGATGCTGCAAATCCGGTATTGC